CCCCCGTTTAAATTGAGTCTTCGATGTCCGGGGAGACGCTTTAATTATTGTCACTGAGACATTTTCAATTCAATTTTACACGCTCTAATTAGTTTCATTTAAAACACATTTTTTAATGCCTATATAGGTTTATGTACGTAATCGGACTGTGTTTATTACTGTAACTTAATTTTTACCGAATAGGCGTATACGTAGGATAATATTTTAGGGAACGGGTGTGCGGTCTATTTTTAAACGCTATTATTATAACATATTTTATGTACAAGTATAACGTGCGTGTGAAAGAAAAACATTTTTGAAGTCTTATCTCCGTGACAGATATTCTAAAAGTTTGGTTCTGTTTAATCAGTCCTCGGGAACGTCCCTCATTTCTCGGTAAATACAACCGCCCTTTAGTGTTTTGCCCGCTTTCACCTCTGTTTAATCCAGTGGTGGACTTGATACGTTTCCTAGTAAGGTGAGGGTTTTCGGTCCGAATGGCGAATGGCCTCCGTAATAAAATTATATTATTTAATATTATTAGCTCGTTCAGGCCCATAAAGTGACAATTATGGCCGTAATTGTAGCGCGCCTCTATCTACTGCGGTGTGGTTATAGTCGATAACCTACAGATTTCTAGAAACAAATTATTATTCGTAATTCATGGTTTTACCACAACGCGTACTGACTAATAAGACCAAAACGTCTAGGGGAGCCATGGCCCTTTAAACCTCTACCACCGACCCTCCCATAAACGACGCCACTGTCTTAACATCACTGAAACTTTATACGATTTGACCGGGGTTCTTTTCCTATACAACTACTGGTTGTACGTCAATGGTTGCGATTTCACCGTCCACGGAATGGTCTTTTTGGAGCCTCGTTCAATTCGCGTCTAAATTGTATACGATTTTTAAAAAGAGGACATGTACCTGCCTACATAATAAAGGACATTTAAATTTTTTACCGCTGACGATGCCTTTACCCGCTTTATTGTAATTTGTACATACAAAGTTGATTCGAGTCGTTTTTGGGTTGGCCCTAGTTTTTTTCTGTCGGACAACGTTTTATTTGTATAACGCGTAAGTTTTTTTAATCACATCATGTAGATATGAATAGTTATATATTTAAATTCAAAACGCAAAACCGACGTATTGTACCATCGTGCAGCTGACTGCAATTTAATTGGATTAAACTGTCCCCCATTTAAATTTCCGCAAAATTTTCTGTTTACGAAGTATAATCGAATAAAATAGTCTAGGTACAGACTACAGAGTACCTATTGTACAGGTACAATTCCCTACGTGTATTTTACATAGGAAATTGTCAAATCCTGCAGATACACCCTATATATATTTCGTTTTATCGTTTTATCGTTTTATATACATAATATTATTACGTGTTTGAATTTAACGAGAGTTTAAAACGTAAATTGAATATTATCGAACGGTATTTATACTTGTTACCACGGTAAATATTATAGATTTTTCGCAAATAAAAACACGAATAATATAACTTTTGTCACCATTTTTAAAACGCTGGACCACACTATGATATTTTCTATCGCTATAATCGTGAAATTCACTATTACGATATTAACCATTATGGACTATCGCCATGTGAACGGAGCTATGGTAACTATCACAGTGTATAGACTCGTGCAATCGTTTTATTTTACGGCACTTTCACGGACGTTTCTAAATCAATTCAAACATTTGATCGAAATTCACTCCGCTATCATCACGCGGACGTTGTCTCTTGTGATAACCACTTGACTATCGTGATGTACTGTCTCGGCAAACATCAGCGTGATGTGACCAAGCTTAATAGCACGTACCTATAGGTAGGTTACTTCCCCGAAAAAATGTAAAACAAACGAAAAACGTTTGTCTTCTCACTCCCTCTTATCATAAAAGTATATAAAAAAATTATAATAGTAAATCATATTATAATTTTTCTGTTCAACTCCGTAGTACGAACGCGACAGATTCAAGGCACCCGGAGTCAAAAATCGCTATTGCCGATAAACGTCATGTATACGCGTGACAAAAATGTAAATAAAACTCGAATTTATGGACTGTACGTGCGATTCGAACAAATTCCACAGCCCACGCCCATCTATAGATCTCGCCAACCGATAACAGGTGGTGAAATTTTCGGGCGTGTTACTCCGGTGTGTACATTTTCCTTTACCGCAACTCGTTTACGTAAAAAAACCACTTGCGAATATAATAATTTGTCCTACTCGAAAATAAAAAAATCTCGAAAATATAGCGATACTATATGAAAATTTAGCATTAAAACATAATAATAGGTTATGTAAAGAGCATAATTAACCAATAGGCTGCAGCCTAGGGTGCCAATCGACCAACGTGAAATGGGAGGGGCGCCACAAAACAATTTTTTTTTTCAATTTATTTCTTTCAAAAAACTCATAGCTCAATAATATATCAAATAGCCAAACTACTTTTTTAGGGTATGCCGGGAGGGCCGGTTTACGAATTCGACGATGAGCAATAAGAAAATACAAAGTCAACTTCAGCCAACTGGTGACAAACCCATTAATCAGACCCTGGTTATGCATCAACGTATAAAAAAGGACGTTTATATATTTTTTTAATATTGCACTTGAACGCGTACTAGGTATATTTACGATATCCCCCCTCCAGATAGAAGGTCTGAAATAAACACTGTATATATACATGAATACATATTTATTTGGTGATTTTATCCGGAAATTATATAATATTTCTGCCAAGTTGATCCGGCTTTTAAATAAATCTCTTTGTCAATAGTTAGGCAGGTATAACAAAAAGAAAAGATTCTAAAATTTATTCATAAATCTTTATTATTATTTAATACATCCCCTCCCATGGAAAATTACTGAACACGCCACTGAAAATAATAAATAATACCTAATTAATACTAATAATACTATTGGTTATATTTCAATACCTAGTTTTCATTCAAAATTATGCTGGGTAATATCATTATATTTTTTGACATAATGTTGTTGCCTGCATGTAATTACGGGGGTATAGAACCTCCTCCCATGAGCCGAATTTGTTTAGTATATTGTTGTTTTATACAAATTTAAAGTTCAAATGCAAATTTTCAAAATTATTAAGTATCTACGAAATTAAAACATTTTAAATGTTTTTATTGCATTAGTAAGTACTAAAATATTCGTAGTTTATTATTGTACAAGGTAAGCAATATTCTTGATAAGTACCTAGATTGATATCAAAATAAATGGTAAATTTCATTTTAAGCTGGTTACACACTACTCGTTTCGAATACGATTCGGACGTCACGAATTTTCAAATCGCGGGCGAACCATTTAATAGGGAATGCCAGTAATTATAGATAATGACTTGAGTATTAAATGATTAACTAAAAGACAAGTAAATCGAGCAGATCAGGGTTCTAATTTAAGTGCTGAAGACTACTATAAAGTATTAATATTTATGCCTTAGGTACCTAGGTTTTTATAAAACAACTAGAAGAGAGATTTTTAACCCATGATGACATTGTTCAATTTAGATTTGGTATAACTTTCATATAAAGATAGTTTATAGAAAATTTGTTAAGTTTGCATTAGTATACACACCTACGACACATTTTTCCCCCGTTTCCATCCATTATATAAACAAATTATCAATTTTTGTTTTTAATTAGAAACCCTACATTTTCACACCAGTTTTACACGTAATATACAATGTTCTACAGTGTTATCTAAATGCTAATAAGTCTGCTAATGTTTAAATTTTTTTTTTAATCGTGTTGTGTCAGAAACAAACAAATTAAGAGAAAAATTAAATTTTTAATTTCATCACTTAATCACTGAAAAATAATTTAAAATTTTCAAAATAACTGTTTTGTAAAATACATTATCCTAAAATTATGAATTTATTATACATTCATAACCTAACCAAACAATATTTTCTTAATAATAGTCGTTTTAATTTCAATATTTCTTATCGTGTATTAAGATTTAAGACTATGATTCACTATATTATATTGTGATAGTCTCGTGTTTACACCTTTCTCCAGATATTAAAATGGCTATTTCTAAAAAACTAGGTATTGATTCGGATATGAATGTACGATACATAATGTGTTTAGAGTAATATATTTTACAAATTGGCTATTTTAAAAATAAATTATTTTCTTTCAGTGATTAAGGGATGAAAATAGAAATTTAATTTTTCTCCACATTTGTCCCCCCGATACAAAATCCTATTGTACAAAACAATTTTGAAAAACATGAATATTGAGTTATTACTTTATTAGCATCTGAATAGTACTGTATGACACCCTGTATTCGTATCTTACACCAGTTCTATAATTAAATGAACCGATTTACTATAAATCCGCTTATCCAACTGTTGATTTGGTCAAATGTAATAGTGTAATATTGAAAAAAAACTGTCCTAGTATAATGGGGACGTGTGCAGCCACTGGTATACATAATTTGATGTACTTATACTTGTAAACCTGTCAACCTATAACAATACAATAATGCTAACGATAAAACAATTCTGAGCAGAGTTCAGTTGATAGTGATACTTTGTCAACAATATATTATGTCATATTACAGTCAAATAGTTAAATAGGCATTATGCATTTTCTTTAATATTCGTTTATTGTAGTTTTTTCATGTTTTTTTCACAAATCTTGGGAAAATTAAAAAATGACCTCCCCAGTCAGATTTCCTTTTATAAAAAGTGCTATCATTGTAAATTCCAGCAAAATTGCTGGTAGAAATGATGTCCAAATAAAAAAAAAATCGAAAAATTTTAATAATATATTTCTTACCTTTTTTCGTTTTTCACATTCGTTGAGAAAACTCCTGAAAAGATCGAAAAATTACCTCTTTAAAGTACCTTGCCAGTTTGATTTCCTTTTAGAAAATTGTCTACACCTAAAAATCAGAAGCAAGATTTCTGGTAGAAAAAATGCGCACAGATGAAAAAAAAATGTATATCTTTGTAAAACCATAAGCTTCTTCACTCCACTTAGAATCTAAAAGTATAAATTTGGTTGACTCAGGAGGGAGGCAAACTACTGATACATTGACTTTGAATATTTAATGGCTATATTACTATTAAATGTAAATGTAACAATTAATACATGTTTAAAAAAAAAGTTGATCATTTTTAATGGGTAACAATGTAAGTGCAATGGAAAAATGTGCAAGTTTAATGTTACAAATATATACATTTCATGAAATTAATTACAATTTTATTTATCATAATTCATAACTTTAAAACAGACAAGAGAAGGAAGTACCATACACTATACTGGCTATCTAAATTAGAATACAACATATTATATTATATATTTAGTATTTGATTTATTTTTAAAGACAATTTAATCTCCACTGTGATGTAACTTATCACAAATTAAAAATAAATACATAGTGTATAATAGTAAATCTAAAACAAACAAAACAAGTATAAACATTAATATATTTTATAAATCGCCAAGTATTCAATTTAAAAAACGCAAACAAGTTTATCACTTAACATGCAATTAAATAATTTGAAATATTTATTTTCTGAAAGGACAACAGAAATTGAAATATAAAAAAAAACCTAACTTTTAATATTATTGTCAATATAAATATATATTATTTCCAAGTTAACCAAAATAAAAAATATCAAATTATAATAATGTCATAACAAAAATACATAATTTTTTCAGTCTCTAATTATTTTAAATCCAACGTGAGTAGATTTTTGGGTAATGTGCATTCGTTCATGGTTGGCTACAGCTGAAGCGCTTTTTAACTCCATGCCACAATAAGTGCACTGGAAATTCATTGTCCCTTTCGTTTTAGTGTGATAAAAATTATAATGCACCTTGGCCCTATCTTCCATCAAAAACATTTTGCTACACACACCACATCTATACCTTTTAGGCAAATCATCATGTTGTATCTCATCGTGGTCCAATAAATCACAAAATCTCGAAAAAGTTTTGTCACACAAGTTACAGATGTAAGGTGATCTTTTTGGTGTTTTCCACATTATTAACTCTGAGTGATCTGCTGTGTCTTTTTTACCTGGATGTGTCAACGTAACATGTTCCTGAAGATCATTAACAGTCAGAAAAATTTTGTTGCATTTGTTACATTCGGTTTTTTTGTTTAAATCGCGATGTCTGGAAACTGAATGTTCTTTTAAATGAACAAATTCATCAAACGTAGCACTGCAATAGTAACATTGAAATTTTTCATCTCCGTCATCTGAAGTGGGTAATTCGTTATATTGCTCATAATTCATCTAGAAAAATATATAACTGTTACCTACTTAATCATTTCATATAAAAGAAAAAAACTAATATGCTGATGGGTGCTCCACTGTTGTAGATGGGAAGTTGGGAAGGTAGGATACATAAAAGTTATTTAATTTATATTTATTAACAACAATAAACCATCCTAAACAAATGATTTAGAGCAAAGTTTGGTCATACATGTTTTGAAAGACTGTAATATTTATGATTTTCATCAAAATTTTGTATTAAAACTTGTATGAAAAATAAATATTACATTACACTCAATTTTTTTTTACCACTAAGTAAAATTTATAATAAACCTGTTCAATTTCAAGCATTTTTGTTTAGTCAAACAATTTTGTCCACAGAATACCAACCAAATAAAATGTCTATAAATATCTCAAGATAGCTCAAATAATTTTAAAACTTTTTATTTCTAGTTCTTTCCAATTATTTGGAAAACTATTCAGAAAATCAAAATATAATCTCCCTAATGCACCAACTAAATCCAAAATACAACGAAAAAGCGTTTTGTCATTTATTTATTGGAGCAGATTTCTGGTAGAAAAGTTAATGAAATACACAAAAAAAAAAAAAAATAAAAATATTAATACCAATAAAATCCTCTCTTCGTTACGAATCTAAAACTTCAGAAGTAATTTCATACATTAACTAATACATTTATTTTATTTTATACACAGTTTACTTTTTGATATGAAGGTCTATTGTACTCTATGTACTCATCACATTGTATATTTTCTTCGCCATCAACTAATGAAGATTGAATGTATTCCATTATATTTTCTTTGTACTTGGGATTAGTATTATAATTCACACTTTTTGGATGAATTTCATTGACGTGCATTAATAATTCATACTCGCTAGGATAAATTTTTTCACAATATATACAGCAATGGTAGTCCACTTCATCAATTAAGTCCATTTGAGTTACAGTTACAGACTAGAAAAAATCACCTTTAATTAAGACTACACATATGAAAGTCTATCAACTAGACTATTAAATATACATCTTTTTCGGTGTAATTCATATTGGATTCAATTTCCTTGAGAGCCTCTTCGCTTTGTCTTTTGAACGTCACCCAATCTTGAACATGATCATAGCATTCGTTACATATGTGTTTCGGCCCAACAGAGTCTTGGGTAATCTGTAAAGACAACACGTAAATTTTATAAAATATGCATCCACCAATATATTAAGCGTAGGTACCTTGACTTGAAGACAATTCATCACGTCCTTGGCCAAGTCTGGATCAGAAGCCATGAAGATGGGAAATGACGACTGCGACTGTCTCAAACAAAATCTGCAGAACAACAGTTCGTCACTTTCGTAGTCCATTGTGAAACGAATCGATGAAATCAGTTGATTTGTTAACACTAAACAAATTAAAAACGTCTAAATTTATGTGATTGATTTTTTTTAAATATTTTTCAATCGCAAGGAAATAATATTTATTAATTAATAATTACTGTTATTAACGTCTGGCGATTGGTTGTTATCAGTTTCGTATTATCAAAATATATCCGTTGAAAACAACCGTGCTCATTACCACGCTTACGACCAAACGTGCCACTGCCGTCGCCAACGTGTCCGATTGGCTGCACTGGTGAATTTACCTCTCCGTCACTGGTTATCTTTTGCTTATCTATAGTTTTGATTTACATTTTTTTTTCACTTTTGTTTTTCGCTTATTATTATTATCTAAATATTTTTTATTCTATTATACCCGTGCGGAAAGTCAAGACACTTCGGAGGTCCAAAGTTTTGGCCCCAAAGTTGTCGGCGGTGGTACAATATACCAGTGTAGTACTATATTTAGCATTCGGGGTGTTAGAATGTCAGAAACCGCAGTCGTCTCTACTCAATTGACAGCCTCGTGATTATATTTCGTACACCGCGGTTTATTCAAGTAAGTGACCATTATAAATAACTTATCTGAACGATAATTTTAGTTTATTAACTCGTTGCCAATGTCCGACACGATTTCCGAGCATACGTCTGTCGCTTAAACGATTTTTCGTGAGTCGTAGTTAGTAAATATATTGTCGACGGTCGTGCCCTCCTCAGTACTTTCTGATAACACGTTCTGGTTACCCACTGTGAATTCAAACAATTTTGATTATATTATATATTAACTATTTTTATTTCTTTATGTGCTCGCGCATTATATTAATACAAATTGTATATGTTCTATCCAATTGTCTTGCCACTGTTTTACAGTAGGTAATGAAGAAATGTTTGGCTCTTGTCTGAAATACTTACCTACCTTTTCATGCAACAATGATATTGACTATTAGATGCCAATAAATTTCATTCCTACAAATAAACAATAAACTGTTTTATTATGTGTTCTTAAATCTATAATAAGATCCTGACCATTCCAATTTTGTTTCCCGATTTATTTATAGTTAACCAAGGAAATTTATTTAATTTTCATTAATAGTTAATTTGGTTCCTATCAATATTACTACAGGTTAATTTTATTTTTTAAATACATTATTCCTACATAATAGTGGAACTCGCGTTCTATTCAATCTACTTAAATAACTCCTGTTAGGGGTGTTTTTATACCTGACTCTTTTAACTCTTATTGTTACAACAAAGTTTTGCAAAAAAAAAAAAAAAGTAGTATACATAATTATACCCACGATATAAGAGCGCACAGTCAACATTCAACAAACATTTAATGCTCGAGGCATACAACACAATTAACTTTCGTGTAGAAATAGCATACAACTTGAGTTCCATATTAATTAATGTGCTTATGACGTTTAATATCAAATAAATATTTTTTAGTGAAATTAACTTATGAATTATGATTAAATATGTTTTAATTGTTACCAACAATTACTTTTCGACTATATTTCTAATGAACAGAATAACAGAAATGCATATCTACCTCTATTAACTATGTTTTCACAAAAAGATTTTGTTTAGACAAAGTACTACTGGAACCTCAAAAATACATTTAGGCTGTATTGCTTGTTAGAAAGACAAATGGCAAATGCAACTATTACTGAAATATTTTTGACAAGGTTTTATCATTTGTACACTCATCTTAAATTATCTTATCGGGGTAGTCGGGCAGAGTACATTACCTACCTATTTTATTGGATTCAATTTTTAGTTTTTCGTATATTTTTATGAAATATGATATATTTTTCAATTTAAATGATAGATATAGGTACTTAATTAAAATTTTAAAAATAATTTAAACAAACAAATAATGAGAAACTTTGAAATTCTTAACGACCATTTAGGTAGATGTTTAAATTGGGTTGACTCCAAATAATTGTATTGTAAGTTCTTGTATAATAACATTATTCCAAAAATTTCTTCTCATCGATGATTTATTTAAACATTCTAACTATAAATATTCATGTAAATACAAATAAGATTAAAACTTCTCTCCTATTTTAGTAATGTTTAACACATTACCATCTTTAACTCCTTATATGTAAACAGTTATTTGCAATAACCTTGATGTCTAGATTAAACTAATTATGAATCATTTATTTATCATTTCACTATTCATGCATTGTTCAAATAATAAATACAGTTCAGAGAGCGGATGCAAATACCTACCTAATATTATTTAGTGGGAATCATTTGTAGGTAGGTATAACATGATGTTATGTGTACGCATTCTAAATTCTGGTCTAATTATTTCTTAGAGAATCATTTTTATTTCACACATTTAAAATAATCAGGTACCCTTGAAAATTAATTGATAAGGCAATATATCTAATGTTTTTATTACAATTTTATTTATCTTTAACTATGTATATGTAATTTGTGTATAAATATCTAATCTAATTTAATCAAGTTTATTGTTTAATCAATATAAAAGTTGTAATAATTATATTTAAATGGTTTTATTTGTTTCTATACTAAATAGGATAGAATAGAATTTTTATACACATGAATGAAATCATAAAATGAGTTCAACAATTTCTCAATTTAAATTTTAAATTAGTTATTACAAAAGTGGTAGGTACATGTTTTCTATGCAATTTTTTATGTCTCATAATAAAATATTACTTTCAAATTATATTATTGTCAATGCAGCATTTCCACATAATGAATTTATTAGATCAGTCTTTTAAATGCTAATAGGTCATCTGTCAATGCACATAGGTCATGCTTAATATTATATAATATCTGCACCTAATTCTACATTAGTTAACTGTTTAATTATATTGCTAATTTAATATCAGTGGCGCCCAAACTATACTTCGAGTGTAGCAATTGCTACGCATCATATCTTGGGTGGATGGGTGTTCCCGGTAATTGACATTTGGGATAGTCAAGTAGAATGAGTATTATCATTCAAAAGTTATACTTTTTAATTTTCAGGTAGTAAAATTTAGGTACAAAAGTTTTTTTGATGGGTTATGGTTTTGAATTTCAAATTCTGCTACACCATAAAAATATAGTTTGGACGCCGTTGTTTACTATTGTATATTTTTAATACTGAATTTATTTCATTAAGTTATGTTTTTATTTTGGGGCTTTAATTTAATTTTATGTACCTAACTATTTTTTTCTTATCTTGAAGTTGGTTTTTATTAAAAATACAAAAATTGCATATGTGGGCCCATTAGGCCATTAGATTATTTATTATATGTTTGTATGATTGAGCGAAGGGTAAAACTAAATCAAGTGTCCAAATACACATTTAAAGACTAATATTGTTAATTAATTACTAAAAATCTTTATTATAAGTTATAAAGAGTTATAATAGCTTCACTATAAAATGGTATGAACAAATAAGCATCCACATTAACTATCATATTATAATAATATGTATACTATACTATATTTAATTTAAAACCATAATGTCAATTATAAATGTCATCAAAACCGTCTGTTTTGTCTCGATAAACAAAGTACTGTACTCGATGACATTTCAATCATTCTAAAGTTATTAGTGATAATACCTATTCATTATCGCCAACTCTGATAGCAAAATTGTATTAAATTATTTTGTTTTATATGGACATTATGTAAATGATTTATCATATTATTAAAATTATTGGTATTAATATTATCTAAGGGACACTATCCCAGTACCCATGATTACATGCCCTAATGATATCAGTAATAGTAATGGCGTTATCTTCATTTTCTAATCGCAGCCGTTTAAACAAATATTTTGAAATTTGTAGTCAAAAGTGAATGAATTTTAAAACTTGCAAATAAAGGAGGACCAAAACTAAATTTGTTTGGAATAAAGTTTTTTATTTTTTTTTTTCTATGTATTTCCATGAATTTAAATAATTTTTTATCATACACATTCCACAGTTTGTAAGCAAAAATATTTACTTTGAAACACCTGCTAAAATGAATGATAAAAATGATTCATGTATTCTGTTTAATACCCCTAAATAGTTTAAGTAATCTAACCTATTATTTTTTACAGTATAAAATTTAAAATTGTTATTGGGATTTATTTTTATATTTACTAAAAGTACTTTCTATTATAGGTAAGAACAATATGTTTCAATTTAATGTATTATAATGGTTGAAAAAGAATACACCATAGATAAAAAATCTACGAAAATGCAAGCTGTGGCCATGAGAACAACACAGAGATCAATTTCTACTGAGGAATGCACAACCAGACAAAAGTCTGACGTTAGCAGAGCAGCACGTAAAGCTAAACGAATACGATTCCTTGTTAACGGTGATCGATTTTGTAAAGGTAATTTTTAATTTATTAAAGTTAGTATTTTTACATTTAAAAATATTGACCAAATCCATCATAAATACAATCAGTAGTATAGCCAGGAAGGAATTTGAGTGTTGTACCCCCCCCCCCCTTAAACCCCTCTAGACCATCCCCATTAATAAATCTTGGCTATACCACTGATCTCTCAAATACCTACCTGCTATATAGATATTTAGAATGCATATAGTTTAGAAGTAGTATAATACTTTTTTTAAAGTGGCTATTTGTTGAACTTAATGTGAGCTGAGATGACCAGTACTATGTATTATTTTAAAACAACAATATAATCATTATGTTCAAAATCTCAAAATTCAAATATTGTTCTATTTTGTATTTATCTTGCATTGTTTTCAGAAAAATTATCATATTGAGACATTTGAAAAATGATTTTTGTCAAGTACTGTCCAATTTTAAATAAGGCCAAAAAATAATAATTCTATACACTTTTTACTTGTATAGAACTACACATATTATACAATTAATATTTCTTTTATACCGATGAGAATTAAAATAAAATTTTATTAGCTAAATTGTAAATATTTAAAAACAATTTAATATTGTGTTTAATTATTTTTGATTTATACTGCTATATTCATATTATTATTATAAAATTTTAACATATTTTTAACACAATCAAATTAGGTTTTTATTTATAATAGTATACTGTTTTGTTTTAGGTGTTGTAGTGGCTGTAACTCATGAACGATATCGCTCATTTGATAGTCTGTTGGGTGAATTATCAAACACTCTATCTGAGAACAAACACTTGCCCAGTGGCGTACGAACATTGTTTACTACAGATGGCCGTAAAATATCTCAACTAGATGATCTCGAAGATGGAAAATTTTATATTTGTTCTGGTGGAAATAATGCCTCGTTAAAAAAACTAGACTATGCCGCTTTAAACAACGTTAAACCTTCAAGATCCTTGACTAAACTTCAATCCACAAATACAGTATTAAGTAGTCCAAGTAAACAACTGCACCTTAATATCAGACCTAAAATTATATTTGTGGTGAGAAGTGGTACCAGACCTAGGAAAATTATCAGAATGTTATTGAACAAACGCAACTCTCCTTCTTTCGAACACGTGCTCACACTAATAACCGAATCCATAAAATTAGATACTGGTGCCGTCCGTAAAGTATATGTATCTTCTGGATGTCAAATAACACAATTAGAACAATTTTTTAAACCAGATGATTTGTTTTTCGCATATGGGTCTGAACGAGTTTCTCAAGATGATTTAAAATTAGATTTTGAAGAAATGAAAATAGTGCAGTCGCATAAACGTGGACTGAGGAAACCACCCAATGAACTGAAAAATGGAACACATTGTATGGATGAAAGTGGTAAACGAGTACCTCAGTTACCCAAAACTACTAAAGCTAATCGAAATATAACCAGTTCGATACCTAGCAAAGTTCTAAGCAGGTGCATATATAATTTATTTTATATTGTATTAATTTATACAATTTCCATTAGGTAAATAATTAGGACATTTTTTTTTTTTATGTATTTCATTTGAAATGTATTATTACATATTTATAATCATTTTCTTCAATAGTTATAATTTTATTTTATTTTTTTCAATATTTATAATATCATTGTTAATAAAATATTTTATTAATTTTGCATTTTTTATAATTACAGGTATACCATTGGTGATCGGCTTGGTGATGGTAATTTTGCTGTAGTTTATCGGTGTTTTGACAAACGAAATAATTCAGAGTATGCATTAAAAATTATTAAAAAAATAGAAGCCCCTCAAATGAACCAAATGATTGAAAATGAGCTCTCAATATTGAAATCGATTAGACATCCAAATATTATCAATTTAATATCAGATCTAGTAACAACCACATACGTATATCTTGTGACAGAGCTAATTAGTGGTGGTGACCTATTTGAAGCTATTGCCAGGTGCACTGATTTTTCTGAACGTGATCTTCGATTAATGACAAGGAATTTAGCCTCAGCTCTAGCATACCTCCACGGAATGGACATTGTTCATAGGGATGTGAAACCAGAAAATCTTCTAGTTGAGTTTGATGATGATGGCCATGTACTGCACTTAAAATTAGCCGATTTTGGGCTGTCTCAAAAAATCACTGAACCTTTATATATGGTGTGTGGTACCCCTACTTACGTTGCTCCAGAAATTCTCACTCAGGAAGGTTATGGTGTGAAAATTGATATCTGGGCTGCTGGGGTGATATTATATATACTGTTATGTGGCTTCCCACCATTTGTTGCTGAAAACGGCAGTCAAGAGGAACTGTTCGATGATATATTGAGTGGAACCTATGGTTTTCCAGATCCATACTGGGATAATGTATCTGAAGAAGCCAAAGATTTGGTTTGCTCAATGTTACAGTCCAATCCTAGTTTGAGATTTTCTGCCGAAGATGTCCTTGATCATCCATGGTGCGATGAATACGAATTGTGATGAATAATTACTTCCATTTATTATTTTAAATTTTAATTGTTGCCATTGTATGTAATATTTGGTTAATATAATTTATTGTTGTTCCAGAATAATAATAAAATAAAAACTAGACTTGTATAAGTGTTTCGATATATATAAATTATTTTTATTATAAAGTTATGAATTTTTTTTTTTTTTTTGTCATGTAGTTAAAGCAATTTTAAAAATGATGTTTTAGTTGCATTGATCAATTATTTTTACTATGTATTAATTTGTAGTCTGTTTAAATGAAGCCAAAATAATTAGACCCTTCCTATTTTGATATTGCAGTCAAAAATTAAAGTGATACTATTATTATATTTATTTATTTTTTTTTTTTTTGATAAATCCATTTATCTAAATTTAATTTACACGTCACAAAAATGTGATAAGTTTGTTTGTTTAAAATTATTTATGAAAGCCTTTCTTTAATTGTATTCAATTATTTAGTATTTATTTTTTAGTATTTCTCTAGTTTACCTTTTTGAAACAATGTATTGATGTTTTTTTTTTAATAGCTATGAAGGAGTACGAAACAATTTACCGGTATTATTATGTATTTTTATACTTTCAAGACTGATTTTTTCATAAAAGAAAATAATTTGGCAATTTATATTTTCCATTTTTTTTTTTTTTTTTTGTTTCTTAGATCATATTATTTGTTATTATCAGATACTAATCAGAATTATTTTAGATCTTATTAGTATATTTCTTTCTAATATTCCTTAGATTACAATAATTTGAAAAAATTACATCCATGTAGATCAGTGGTGCGCAACCTTTTTTTTATCCAGGATCCCAATAATTATTTTGATGATACAACCCTTCTTCCAACCAACATTATGTAAGTATATAATATATACTTGCTTAATATTCTTAATGTATACACAAATTGTATTTATACAAATTAAATTTTTAATTTTTTGGCAACTTTAATATTTCTTTAATTTAATTATTTCAAAACATAAAAAAAAAAAACGCAAAATTACTGAAGTTAATATAATTATAATCAACGTTTTAAAATGTTTAAAATTATAAAATTACTAGGTATTACATGATTTAATGATTTTAATGAGAGACCTGAGCTTGTATTGTAGACATAATTGATTCTATGTTTGATTTGATATTTGATGCTGCAACTCTTAAATAAATATATAAATAATTATGTAAAATAATATACACAGTATATAACTTTTTCATTTTGTGTTAAATTATTGTTGACTCCCTAATAAAATTTTGTGCACCACTGGTGTAGATAAATCACTAGGTATTAGGTATGTGTAATTATTATATTTTATGTTGTATATTTTGAATATTTTGTGCTTGATAATACAGTCAACTAGTGATACTTAATGAATGAAATTGGCATTATTTTGAAAATCTCATAGTATAATGAAAATTAAATGAACGGTTCCCTTGACATGAAAAAGTTTTTTTAGCCAACATTTTCTCAATATAACAAATTTTTCCAATTCTCAAACTTTGTATTACAACATTTTAATTGCTATTAACATATGATAACATCCACTACCTTATGGTATTAGCTCCACTAATATCAGTAAGTGTATAAAGATTCCACTTTCAAATTTAAATTTAGTTCTATGAAAAATACACAAAAATTAAAACATTTTATTTTATTTCATTTAATTGTATCAAAAGTGCAAAAACCCGTCGAGCGTATCATGAATTCAAAACGAAAAGTGTCTCAATTTCTGACCAGAAGAAACTTATTTAAGCGGTACAAAGTGACAAAAAGAAAAAAGACAAACCAAGAGTTTTTGAATCCCTTCTCTGTCGTTTTTTACTACACACGAAGTGTCCAATCCCAATGAAACCACCCCACAACTCCATTTTTTGGCGAAGACAAATCTTGGTAAACAACAAAGCAAAAAATATATCTACACAATTGAGTGCAACAAACATACCTACTACTCCGGTACTTAGTATTCAAGTCATTAGTAAAAATGCAGTGGTCAATTTTTGAGAAGTGCAACAGTTAACTCCGGAGAATAAAAATCCAACAACAAAACAGTGGTGTACGATTATATTATACGTATGGGTATGATTTAGTTTTGCAATTCGAATACCTAGGTATTTTTTGTTCGGTAAAATAGATACAACAAAATAACTTTAATAAATTAGGGTACCTACGTAGGCGGTAGGTATGTAGGTTAACTATACGTATTATTCATAATTCGTTCCTAGTTCCTGTATCGATATTCGAGTATCCATCCGCGGATCCAGTTCTTGATGTGCTTCCTGGCCTGGATCACGGATTTCGGATCGTTGGGGTTGGACGCTCTCAGGTCCAAGTGGTGCGCGGCATCCGGTATGAGAAACGCGCGGACGGTGGACGACACGCTCTTCAACACGCCGCCACTGGACCACGGGTCCAACATGCCGTTGCTGTAAACCGACATTACCGATTAGACACCGTGTGCAATGGTTCCGCGAGACCTTTAGCGCTTAATATACACGTGCGACCTACCGAGGACGGCGGACCGAACAGTTTACCGTCAAGAGGACGTAATAATCGCATCTACTGCCTCGGTCAAACTACCGGGTGACATGCAAAAACAATACTTACGTAGAATAAGTAAAACTACCTTAATTTTGATTTTAGAGTAAAAGTACCTAGTATGAAATGTATAGAGAACAATATTTCGGAGGGCATGTCGTAGGTTTTTTTTGAATTATGAGCTATTAAAAAAGTTGCAGTTATTTAAATAATAAAAACAAACGGTTGTTGTAGATATCTATTATATCGAACTGTATATTTCGAATGCAACGAAACCCTACGACATTCCCTCAAAAATAATGTTCTCTATACGTTTCATTACAGGTACTCTTAATGTAAAATCGAAATTAAGCTAGTTTTACTTATTCTGCGTAAGCGTTGTTTTTGCATGTCACACGGTAATTGGACCGAGGCAGTAGATATTGGTATAACGTCCTCTTAACAGTGAGTACAATAGTCCATAATAGAATTTGACGAAAAGAACGAGTCTATTTTGGGGGCCGGGCAAAACGGTACCCATTCGAAAATCGCCTCGAAGGGGGCAAGTCATATTTTTCAGAAAACTGGATTAAAAACATATTTTATAAGTTTATTTATACTCCGTAGTACCAATATAGATTGTAGGTAGATAACTAACTACATACTTGTACGTTTCTGCAATAGTCGATAGTATACAATTTATTTTATTTTTTTTTTTTTTAACAAAAATACGGACTTGGGGGGCCGCGGCCCCTAGGCCTCCCCTGGAACCGCGCCTGTGTCGAACTGTATACATTAGCAAAATATAACGCAGTTGTTCGTATCTAGTGTACCTGAATATGATGTTGGACGCGGCCCTGATGTGTTTGCCGCCGTACACTTTTTCCATCAGGTCCGTGGTCGGCCTGACCCCGTACATCAGTTCGCAGCTCTCTGCGTAAGCGTCGAAATCCCACGGGCTGGGTTCGAACATGTCGTCGTCGCCGCCTTTCGTGCAGAACGGCATTATCATCTCCGTGCAGGCCTAAAGTTTAAGAGCCAATAATAATAACCGAGTGTCCGATTATCCGTATTCATGAATACAATTAAACATTTTAAGTTTAACGACTTCCTTAATGATAAGTTTTTTCCATTTATCTATTGTTTGATATCCACTTATTAGGGGAGACTGATATGACCGTTTTTATGGACGACTATCACTTTACGGAAATTGGAATAATTCAATGTCAAATGTCAACTTCATAATATTTTTACATACACTTTTTTTTTTTCCATTGATAAGCAACAATATTTCATAACGACGGAGACAAGTCTAAACACGCAGCGTTACATGGACACGTTGGATTTACCTACGCGATGTTTACAAGAGTTTTTGCATTTCCCACCTGGTAGTTCCATGCGTCCATTCCGGGAGGATACACCGAAGAAATGTCCAAACAGCGGGCGGCGCCGGTATAGTTGAAGTACACGCTCAAACCGTCGAAAACGGATTTCAGGAGCGTCTCGTTATCTTCCAAGTGATTGGTCATCGACTTGCACACTTCCTGTGAACGATTTATCACATTACAGGAACATAGTATAGTATAGTTAACGAGTTTTACGATGTGGATAATTAATTATATTTGTATACGGTCGACTTTGAATAATTCGAAAATAATAAAACTTCTGAACTGCCGAGTGTTCGAACTGCTAAGGCTGCTAAAATTAGGCGAAACAATAATAACGAGCGGGAAAGATGGTCGAACCACCCTTCCTCGGGTTCCGCCACTGATGTGTGTTCTAGTATATAATATAACGTGCAGTAATAATGCAACAAAAATACGTAAAATCATACTAAATGATACGTCATGTTTATTTTGCAACCGACAAAACGAAACTAAAATAAACCTACAGCGAACACTAGACAATTTAAAATACCCGTGAGACATAATTACGGGGTCCGGGGAAAACGGCTTTGAGTTGCCGAGAGTCGAGTCGAAGAAACTTCGAATTGTCGAGTGTTTGTGGCTGGTTGACCGAAAATTGTACTTCGAACAACCGAGTGAATCATATACACATATCATTTACGTTGTTTTCATCCGCGTTACCACGCGGTTTTCAAGGAACCGAAGATTTACTTCGAATTAACGAAAGTTTTGAATTATCGAATGTTCGCATGATTGAAAGTCTACCGTTTCCCCCCCCGTCTTTTCCCGGTTTCATACTCTCGGACGTACTTTAATCGGATTGGCCGGTAGAGGGGCCAAAAAATTCGCCTCGTACGGATAGTTGACCATGGACAGCGCCACATATACTTCGGCGGCCCACGATTTCAGATCTTGCACGTCGTCGTCGTCCTCCAACGTTTTGCACAATTCCCAATTTTTGTACAACCAATCACTTCCGGAACCTGTAGTACGTATACGAATATAATACTTGTGCACACAATCGTAAATAACGTGGATATCGCTGTGGTCGTTAGATCGTAATAATTATTATGTATACAGAGCGGTATATAAACTTTTAGTAACTTTTAGTGTTTCCCATACGTTTTTTTTTTTTTTTAATTTACCAAGTACCTGTGCAATTTCGGAATTATCTATACGAGCAAAGAAACCGACGCGATTGTGTTTGTAACTCGGCACTGCACTTTACCTGTCGACGTGACGTTGTCGATGACTTCCCAAGATTTAGAAATCGTCAATGCGCATTCGGCACCCGCTTGCCTGAAAACCGACGTGACCACTTTGTAGAAATCGTTGCACGGCGTCATCCCGGTGAACTGCCATATCGGCGCCGACGAAGCTACGGCACTGAAAAAAAATATTTTGTAAATTCATGTCAGTTTCAGTGACCCTAACTGTCTAGCATTCGGTCAAACATAACCTTTAAGTTGTTTGAGGGCACGTTGTCAAACCTATAAAATAACGGTTCGAAGTAGAGAATATCCGTCTTCTACGTAATATAATACCAGTGATGCGCACTTCCGAATGGTTTGTACTGTCGACAGTGTTCGATTGTGCAAAACCTGGTTTTTCGATAGTTTAAACGGACTGTAGAATATTTCATTCGAACAGTTTTTCCCATAACCGAATGAAAATCATAAGAATAGTTTTTTTTAATCAATCGAATTTAGATCAACTATCTGTGCTTCAATGGCAACTATGTCCGGTTTTGCCCATCACTACGTAACATCGATAATATTATTTCGTTACAATCGACGTCCGGTAACAAGGCGTATTGGATATGCAATATCGTTGTACCGCTGTAGTGCGTAATCGTTGCGCACGGGAACATTATTAGTTATTATATTCGAATTTGCGGTTTTTTAAGTTCGCGTTATTTTATTTTATTTTTTTTTTTTTTACGATAACGGCAGTGTTTGAGTTGGAAACGGATAATTAGAAAGGGGACGGAAGAAAAAAAAAAGAGAGCGCGCACCTTAAAATTGAATTGTCTAATTTATATCCGTCTAATATTATAGTATAACGTTCATGTAATATCCATTCAGCACCGATGATTGAGGGGGGGGGGGGTACATAGAAAAGCTGAGTGGCTGACATATCCCCGAAACTTGCAAATTTACACTACTGAATCGGAGCGATTCAACGGGCATTTAATATTTTTAAATTATTCGGAAAAACTAATGCCTATAGTTACTCGATTTAGTTAAGTTTTTTTTTTTTCTAAAATTCTATTGAACTTGTAAAATCCGAAAATAAAATACAGTTATTGCTTTTAGATTTTAATGGACAAGACCGATTGTTATACAATTAATTAATAACGGGAAAATAAAATAAAAAAGAGCCGATTCTGGGGATGGAAGTGGCCACCGTTGTAGATGAGAAGTTGGCAAGGTAGGATACATAAAGTCATTTCATCTATATTTGTAACGATAAACCATTACTTGACTAAAAACGACTCCGAACGCAGTTTGGTAATACATAATTTGAAGTGCCGTAATTTTTTTTGCGGTTTTCGTTTAAATTTGATTAAAAAAAAAAAAGTCGTCCGATGATAATTTTACCACGTCTAGGTAATTCCGATTTAAATATTATTACCAAGTTTCAAGTCTCTACTTGTTTTAATAACCGAATAACAGCAAAAAAAACTCCTAAAAATTAAAATCCCTAAAAGCACAAAAGTGGCTCAAAAATTTTATCTATTATACCGTAATAAATTAAATCAAATAGGCAGCAAATAAGGTGTCTTGTGATTTTTCGATTAAATCATTTTTTCTAATTGAAAACGTCGTCCGTATTTTTATAAAATAATGAAATCCTGAAACGTACTGAATTGTACGTTTTTCCCTACTAAGTCCTTTTATTTAAAAAATAACATCTTTAAAATACAATCTAAACAACTTGAAATTGCAGAAAAGTTATTACACGTAAAAATCGGAGTAATTTTACTAGAAAAAAACGTGTCCATAGACTAGAAAAAAAAAATTTAAAAAAATAAACATCTTAGTAAAACCGATAGCTTCCCTCGCTACGCTCGGAATCTAAAAAATGGCAAAATAGTATTTTATTCGAATTCAAAATATTATAAAGGTTTATGATGAGTATAAAATCCAAAAAAAAATGTATTGCTATATTTAAAAGTACCTATAAGGTTATAGATGTTCAAAAACTAAAATTTGGGCATTTTAAAATAATTAATTTTGTAACTATGATTTAATAAATGTATTAATTATATTATTGGTAATAATATTCGACAGTTCAGATAAAATTATTGCACTGGATAATTATTGAGTATATAGAATACATATATATGTATTTTGACAACGTTGCACATGAATTCGTACGCAATCGTGTTTATTTTTTAAGTATTCTTTAATCTATCGAAAAACATGCGCAATCGCGTGATCAAAAAGGACAAACGTACGCAATCGCGTTCTACCCTTCGAGTTTATCATCAATCGAAGGGAAATAAATGAGTTATAGTAATAGATTTTTTGATGTTGGTAAATTTGGACCTACATTTAGAATCGAAACATTTTTAATCACATATCTCAATCAATTTTGTTAACGGCTGAATCAGATTGCAGTGAAAAACTAAAATAACGTTAAAATATTACTAAAAAATAATGTAGGAAACTCCGTTCCCATTCCAATTGAAGCACTGGATAACGGTGACGGTTTTATCCAACATGTATTTTCGTGTTCCGGTTATGAAGACACTTGTGCCGCGCAGTTATGATTGGCGTATATAATAACAATCGAATTTTGAACGATTCGACTTTGATGCGTATACGGAAAATAATAAGTAGACGAAAGAAAGTTGTTATGATACCAACCCTTGGACGACCGCGGGATATTTCATCCGGAACCAGGCGGCCAACATTCCCCCGTACGAACCGCCGAAAGCGATCACGGGATTGGACCGTTTGCCGGACGGTTCGGCCGACAAGTACTTGATCAGGTCCACGAAGTCTGCGAGCGCTTGTTGCGAAGTCAGGTAACCCATTTCTGAAAGGCCCGGATTTCCACCGAAGGGTATCGATTCGCCGTAGTAACGGTGTTCGGCGAACACGATCAACGCCTTGAACTCTTCCGCAATTTCCCACATAAAACCCTAATTGGTTTTTTTATTATTCGCCATTAGCGTAAAACTTATTATCGTGTGTGAGTGATTTTTCGGGATATCACGTCGTCGTCAAACTCGTTACGACCGCAAAAAATATTTGTACAGGATGAACGATATTCGTAGGTCAATGTATTAATGACGGCGAAAAAGCAAATTGTGAAATGAAGAAATAAATATTAATAATGGACAGGAAATATCGTCCGACAAGAAGCACATACATAAATAACAGCAATAATGGAAGGAAAAATTCGGGGAGAAAGGACCAAGGTAATCGTTTGGTGAAACGAATTATGGTGTACTGCGTAGGAAATAAGAAGTGTCGCAAGAAAATCAACGAAGTCGCTTCGGATATTATAGAGCAGAGTGAGGGGAACATATTGCATCATTCTACCAAATACGGATTGAATAGAAAAAAAAACGTCTAGTCGTTGTTATAAGTAATTTAATGTACCTATGCCTGTAAGCCTGTAAACCTATAACAAAAAAATATTGCCAACGAAAAAACGTGTCTGAGCGGAGTTCAGTTGACAGAGATGCTTTGTCAATAATATATTTTCCATATTATAGTAAAATAATTAAATAGGCTTTATGTATTTTCTTTTATAATGTTTGTTTAATTCTGTACCGACTTTGCTACGTTTTTTCAGGTTTTCCCGTGTTTTTTCTCGTTTTTTAACATTTACTGGGAAAACTCTTTGGAAAATCGAAAAATGATCTTATTAAAGTACCTCCCCTCACCGATTTCCTTTCAGAAAAGGTACTGCACTTGAAAATCGGAGCAAGGTTTCTACTAGAAAAGTTACGCACAGAAAAAAAAAAAATAAACATCTTTGTTACATCTTAAGCTTCTTCAATCCACTCAGAATCTAAAACAAACGGACATACTTTGCACGATGGGGAGGGCACTGTTGTAGGTAAACATTTGGAAAAGTAGAGGGGGAAATTATCGTATATGCAACGGTTAACCGTTGCTAACGTAAAACGATTCTGAGCGGAGTTCGGTTGTACATATTTTGAAAGGCCGTAATATTTATGATTTGAAAATAATACATTTCATACATTTTCCCGCTTATTTCCGGTTTTTCCCATTTATTTTGCAAACTTCAGGGAAAATTCAAAAATAACCTACATTAAGTACCATCCCAGTTAGATTCCCTTACAGAAAAAATGCTACACTTGAAAATTGGAGTAAAATTTCTAGTAGATAAGTTGTTCACAGAAAAAAAAATAAACAGCATTGTAAAGCTAATGCATTCCTCGCTCCGATCAGAATCTAAAAACGTAATAAAGAGTTTGAAGTTATTATATATAATATTTTGTTATAATATATTCGTAATATGTTTTACAGGATTTAAACTCGGAGTAAATTTTCAGTCCAGATTCATACCTACACACAATGAAAAATTCGATTAATACCTAGAGTACACATTGTTAAATTTAATCTCTCGTACTTTTACGTGGACTATTATTTTTATAAAAAATGTACAGTCATACTCATAATCTATATTTATGACGTGAAACAAATTAAAAGTGTTTATTTTTCGTATACAGCGAGTGATCGGCTGTTTTAAACGAGCCATCGAGACTATATCTGTCTAACATCAAGTGTTATTAGTTTATTACATATTATTGTTAAAAACTCGAAAATAACTATGAATACATTCAAATAATGGCGGATTTGATTGACGTGGCCATTGCCCTCTTTCCCCCTTGGAAATTTTATATTTAATGGTTACTCAATAATTATACCCGAGGCAATAACTGTGGGGGGAGGTGTCCTGTTGTATAATGTTTAATTGTAAAAAAATATGAGTGTACAAAGTATATAAAATACTTATATATTAACACAATTGTAACCAGTTTATCCAATCCCCTCAAATGAACTTCAGATTCACCAAGCCACCGATTCGAATAATAATAATTTTGTTTTTACGCCCTGAAAAATTTTTCAAATTCATAATTAATATAAGACGGAAAAATATCGAGAATAATGAAACTGACGATGTGTTCGATATTTTTTGCAAAAGATCGAAAAATAATAGGAAAATATGTAAATGTGAAATCTCATGGAAATGAACTATCTTCGATCTGGATTTAGGATATCAAATATTTTATGTGTCGGCGTCGTCGTTGTGACGTAGTGTATACCCGTATCGAATGAAAATAAATAACAAGACATTCACTCAAAATGTAGAATTTAAGCTCACTGTATTTTCAGCGAAATTTTCGATCCGGTCTTCGTTGCCGCAATAGAAAAATATCGGACCATTCTGAACGTCCCAATACGTGTCGTTCGTGAGGTATTTCAATTCAAACAATTCGTCGCTGTAAAAACTAAAATGGTCAACCTAAAAGTTCAAAAAAATATATAAATATGTATACGCAGAAATGGTTATAATTTATTTTTTTTTTTATTTACACAAAATGATCATTTAAGTGGGTATACTTATTATCTCGGAAAATTTAAAGTGTACCCACTTAATGGATCACCTTGTATATAGAATATGCTATCAGTGGAGTCTTTGGGGACGAGGAGAATTTGGGGGATCATTTTTCCCAGTCTAACTATCAACCACGTCTTAAATCTGAATTTAGATTGATCTTTTGGATCTGAGAAAAAACGTCAAAATATCGAAAAACGTTTCGTATTATGTCGGGTACATATAATAGTTGTTAGTATGCCCTCACAGCTGATAACTGACAAGTGATTAAATCCGTGGTTAGATTTTCGACATTCCAATTTTCATGAATTACAAAGAGAAGATTTTGGAATTTTTAAAAGAAAATAAACGTTACGAAAATGAATAAGCATTTTTATAATCTTTTAGAAATATCTGTATTTTCCTCGTCGGTCGACAAAATCGGTAAATTTTCCCGGGTCTACTAAATGTTGTGATGACTGTTATCATAATTCTACAATTTCGGAATTTGATTACGTCGAGTTTTTTTCGAACAATCTGCATTTTGTACGTAAATTATCATTATTTAATTATGAATACCTCAGACTTTAATTATAAAATTGGTAAATCAGACTGTAATTGATAATAATTTACTGTAAATCATTGAATCAACTGGGAAAAAAAAACATTTGTTGAACAATTTGTCCGTAAAATTTGAACAGTCAAATGGGTAATAACAAACCAATATAGTTCGCGGTTTTAATTTTCGTTCATTACCTTTTGAACCACTCCGTTTAGATTGTACTGGAGATAAACGCGAATTAATATAAATTACTCAACGTTCAGCATTTTATTACCGTTGTTATATAATTGTAGCCGTTAAAAACAGAATACCATAGTCATCGTTTTTTAAGTAAGCAGGTAGAGAAACATTAATAGTTTAGCGAATAAAAATAATAATTTTCCAACATCGAGCCATTATATAAATAAAATTTATTCGATAATACCAATTCGGCGCAATTATTATTGTCGCGCACTTAACTTTTGATATATACACACTCTTAACGGCTGAAATCGACGATCAGCGGTATTAAGACGTAAACGAACTCGTTTGATTTCCCCGAACCTGACCGTTGTAGTTTGTTCGGCGGGGTTAAATACGCGAAGAAATTTAACACCCTTCGAGACATCACAAGACATGCGGATTTAAATGTGCTTTAAAAAAAACAGGGAAAATACCTTGGAAAAATACAATTTAATGCACTCAAATGGAAAATAAAGAAATGTATTAAATAGTGCAATACGACTACATTACAACTAGATAATAACAGCTTATCGTTTTCCTTGATGCAGCTGACATTGTATTTATCTGGTATAATCGGCAAATCGACTCCTAATAATAGAAATATGAATTTGTTTTCTTTTAGGAGGGAACAGATTTTATCGAATTTTCCGTTAACACTGCTGTAATACGGAGTTTGAAAAAAAAAAGAACCTAATTAAAGTTTCGTATTTTCGATACACCTACGGAACGAATTTCGTGCTCGGAAAGCGTTGCTCTAGGACATTCAGAGAAAATATTGCAATTTGTATTGTAACCCCGGTGTTAGTATTATCTTCGCGGTACGAAAAACGAACGCGACAATATCCTCGGGCGCCGATCGTCGACAAATCGCGGTATCCGACTTACCGGTACGGTCACATAATTGACTGTGTATTCATAACCGGCGGCCACGTGAAAAACCAACAACGGTAACAATAACGGCCAGCAGCACGAGCGGAATCCGACCATATTGTTAGGCATCGAAGAAAATTAATAATATATTATGGCGTCTTGTAGTTGTTACACGTTTTGTAAAACATCAATTTCGCGTATAATCCGCGGATCGACACTGTGACAGCAGCCGTACGCGTATTTAGAACGCGTGCGAGTTGCAGACAAACCGACTTGTGTACCTAATTGTTGTATCCTCGAAACGACGCCGAAATTCGCTCTCCGGCAGAGTCCGATAAGATTGTAATGCGCTCGTGATACTCGAACGCTTGTAAATAATACTGGGAACACTCGAACAGAAACACACACGCGAGCCCATCGCACATTTTTGAGTGTGTCATTTGGCTCGGTTTCATTTCGTCGTGGCCGCAGAGCAATGTAGACACGATTATCAGTGTTCAACATTATCGTAATATTATTGAGAACCGTTTAACTATACATTTTTATTACGCCATAAACACGAAATTTGACAATAAACTACCGTTTTTTGTTTTAGTTTTACAATGATGTTTATTTATTTTATTTTTTTTTTTTTTTATGCGATACATTTTTTTCTACTAAAAAGCTTATTCCGATTATCAAGTATAGCACTTTTTCTGAAAGAAAATATTCTCTGAGTGGTACATTAAATAGGTAATTTTTGTAAATTCTCATTTATATTCGAAATAATGAGGAAAACATGGTTATTTAGGTTAAAAATGATTGAAAGATTAAAAATACTGTTGTCATTGACAACCGTTTTTGTTTATTTTTTGTTATTATTAAATTTGTATTATTTTAATATTTTTTAAACAAAAATTGTTGTCATAGAAACGCACATTATTGAAAAATCAATACTATAGACCGAGTTTTATTAAATTAAATAAATTTCGATATCAATACATTCTTTTAATTATTAATCTTTACATTATATTTCCTTATTCTATACTTGAGCTTACACTATCAACTGAACTCCGCTTAGAATCGCTTTTTCGTGAGCTATGGTTAATCCTTGCTTACAGATATACATTAAATTCCTTTTTGTATCCAATTTTCCCAACTTCCCACCTTCAACAGTGGCTACACCCGCATGCGATGTATGTCCGTCTTTTTTTTCCAATATTTTTATACACATTTGTGACTCGTTTGATTCTGAGAGCAGTAATTTATTATTCTATATAATTTTGTAATGTCTATCCATCGTTAATTTAATATAGTGTACATAATATAATATGAGCGTCCGGAGTGGGCATCCAGAGTGGGTGCAAGACGGGGAATCTGCCCCCCCCCCTTGAACTTCAAAATTTCAAATATAATTTTATTTCAAGTACTTTTTTGTGTTTGATTTTATTATGTCCCATATATCTAGGCACCCATGTGCATATTTCTGATAAGGCTTTGAGGATTTCTAATTAAACTACATTTTATCTTTGCGTGCTATATAATCTATACCTCGTTGTACTTGATACGCACAAGGGCCTCTCTTTTCCCCTACGAGAATTCCGTATACTCTATCTCATTTCAACAAAATATGTGTGTGCAATCACATGCGGCGTTGCCAATAAAAAACTACGTTTGTTTTCGTTTATTATTGTGTTGATATTTTAAAAATGTATTACCGATTTGGTTATCCTATAACTTTCAATTACCACAAATTCGACCGCACGGCTATACTCTACGTATACACTGCACTATGGCCTACGGTGTTTTTCATGCTAATAAATGTATAAATAAACTGCTAATATTTTTCAATTTTCTCATCAAATGTGAAAATCGAAAAAAAAAACGTTAAAAAAAATTAATCGCTACGTAAAGATTAGATTTTTTTTCTATATCCTAACTTCTCAACTTCTCACCTACAACAGTGGCCCACCCATCGTGCAAAGTATGTTCGTCTATTTTCTTTCTTGGTGTGAAGTTTTTCGGTGCTGATTTTGTAAAATAGTGTGTATAAAATATATCGTGATCATCGCCAAACAAAACCAGTCGAAACTTGATGAACATGAATTATTTATAGTAGAAAATTAATTTCCAAAAAAAAAAAAAAATTAAACTATTTTTCGATTCGCATTAAATCCACAATTATTTTTTAGGGTGCAGAATATACAAATTCTATTTCATAAAAATTCGAAATTATATTAAATTAATTATATCGTTAAATCAAAAAAGAAATTTTGACGTCGTCGAGTTGTCCGGATCGCGTACCGGATATTTCCAATAATGGGCTATCCATTTTTTTATCCAATTTTTGTGAAACTTTCTGGTTTTGATCACAGATTCCGGATCCAAAACGTTGGACGCTCTCAAATCCAAGTGGTGCGCGGATTCGGCCATTACCACTGCGCGTACGGTTTTCGAAATAGTCTGCAACACTCCGCCGCTAGACCACGGATCCAACAAACCGTTACTATAATTTATAATTAAATAAATATTATAATATTATTGGTATAGTTTTGTTTTATACTCATAGTAGTATAGATTTGTTCCCTCTATCACGCAGCAAAACGCCACATAAAAATTTAACCAATTTTTTATTTTTTAAATAAGTAACAGAAATCTGGTTATATTTTAAATATTTGTAAAACTATTCAATTTTTATTAATTTTCTGTTTTAATTGTATACAATAAATAGATACCGAATTTTAATGGGACATTTTGATGCGTAATAGAAGAAACAGATCAATACTATTAGTACTACTACTCGTTGATAACCAGTGGTATTAAGTAACTGTTGCAATAATCTGAGGTGGAAATTTCAACGGAAAAATGAATGACAGCGATTACAATAAACATAGTATAGGTAATTACACTGCATGCGGTTACCGATAAGTGAAAATATTATTCTTTACATGGGAGTTCATGATATTACGGTGGTGAGAAAATTTCAAAAATTGAATTTTTCTTATTTAATTGTCGTGAAATTTCAAACATCACCTGAATATTATATTCGACGCTGCGATCAAGTTTTTACCGCCGTAGGTTTTCTCGACGATATCGGCAACGGGCCGGACGCCGAAAGTATTAAAACAGTAATCGGAATTTTTTTGAAAATCCCACGTCAAATTTTCGAATATATCGTTAATTCCGTTCGAACACAACGGCATAACCATTTCGGTGCAACTCTAAAAAAAATATGATTTCGTACGTAAATCGTTTTGTATATCTCATTACAAAGGATTTCCACCCTGTAGGTTATAGGTTAGACCATAATTACTTGATAGTTCCATCCTTTTTCGCCCAACGTAAGACTGGTGGACGAAACGTCTAAACACTCAGACTTGCCGGTGTAATTAAAATAGACGTTTAAACCTTTAAAAACCGAATCCAACAGCGTCAAAGTGTCTTCCGTGTGGTTCTTCATGGGCTTACAGAGTTCCTATGTTTACACATGAAAATACATCGTGTACGTAATCCGATATATTATCCAATTATACATTTAATTATAATTGTTATCACGGGTTTATTTTCGGTATACTTTGATAAAACAAAATGAGCTGGTATATATTTGTTGTCCAATAATAAAATCGTCCTCTCTTTTTTTTTTTTTTTTTTTACTGGACCGTGTTAATGCGGTTTTATCTACTGCAGTGGATGATAAGGTTTCAAAGAATGATAAAGGTCTGAAATCGAAAATCGACAACGATTGCCTACGAACAAATGCGTAGTTTCAGAATAATTTTTATCAGGGATATAGATAATAATAATATTATTATGTATATTACTCAGAGGAGAGTAGACGAATGTTTATCAGACGAATAGAGTCGACTTTCCTATCACTGAACACCAATCGTCCGAAAATAATTTTAATTTTTTAAGTTTTAGTATTTTATTCTTAATAATTAATACGGCAATGTGGGTTATTGTTTACACCGTTACTTAACGAGTTAAATCGCGTCACTATTGATGCGTAATATAACAAAAATGTATTATTCAATTCAAAGTAGCTCAAATATTTTAATTCAAGTAATACGTTTACTTATATTGTTTAATGGAAAAGAACAATTATTTTTGTAATACATTAACTCTAGTTATTTTACCGCCTATATCAATCGTAACACAATTTCAAGTCAATAAAAATAATTTACCCTAGTATTACTATCTTGACCGCTATTCTATAAGTACTAATTTATTTTATTTTAATTTATTACAATATGTATTTAATGTGTATATAATATAGTATTATGCAAATTTTCCGGATCTACTAAATCCGTTGAAATTAGAACAATTTTGAGAAGATTGGTAATCAGTAATCTGGGTACTCACTGCTGGTATTGTCTGATGAAAAATTGATGAACGATTGTTCACAAAACAACGTGTACCCACGAATGAAAATAAAACCATATACATGAGATTTACGAACATTTTAGGTTGGCAACAAATTCACCGCCGTCATTTTCGAACTCGGTTTTCAACGATTTTCGAACGAGTGTCATTCACCGATGACAATAGTATTTAAAAAAAAAATCACCTTTATCGGATGTCCTGGTAGCGGTGCTAGAAAATTTGCCGGATACGGATAATTTACCATGGCCAAATTCACATAAACATTCTGAGCCCAAAATTTCAGATTTACAACGTCACTGTCGTCCGACAACGGTGTGCACAATTTCCATTTTCGCGACAGCCAAGATTTCCCTTCGTCTGCGGAAATTACGCGCGCAATAAAATCATAAAATATTACACATTGCCGTTCAATACGCATCGTGTTTTTTTTTTTTTTTTTTTTATATCGAATCGAATAATCCCGATTAAATATCGCGTACAACAGTGGTGTAAATTGGTCTCGATTACTGGTTAATTTTCCAACCCACTAATACTTAAACTTTCTCCTCTCGGTAAACGCTTGATGTCTGATAAACAGTTGATTACCACCCCCCTAACGATTTTTATTTTATTTTTTTTTTTTTACATAAATTACAGTATTGAATTATTTGAACAGTAAAAACTTTATTAGTTATATTAGCTAATAATATTATATATTTAATATGCGAGCATAGCAGTGGACAAAAAAACTGCGCCACATTTGCACAGGCCAATTTACGCCACCGGCATACGATATTGTTTTAATTGCGCTATGTATACTTGATTTGGTGATATTGTCGATAGCCTTCCAGGACGCCGATATCGTCAAACCGCATTCGGCACTCGTACTCGTGTATGCCGACGACGTTACCCTGTAAAACGCGTTGCACGGCGTCATCCCCGTGAACTGCCATATCGGCGCGGACGAAGCTATAGCTCTGCGAAATCACAAAAACACACTCGAGTGTTATACTATACTGTTAACTTCTGCGCACACCAAGTAAACGTTTTCGTAATTGTAATCGTTAAACGCATCGTTTAAATACGTTAACAGCTAAACGTTGATTAATAATCGTCGAGATTTAATAAACATAAAATAAAAAGGTTTAATATTTAACATTTCGTTCAACAGTTCAATTATAAATTATAAAAAAAAAAAAAAAAAAAATATTTCACCAGACCTCGCATTTTATTATATTTTAAAGGTTTTACATAACAGATTTGACTATGTGCCCAACTAAGTTATTGACCAAAGAGGCATCTTATATCAAGGTTTAAAACTGTGTCAATCGTCAAATATTAATGTAAATGGCTGTTGTGATTTCGAAGTCTTTCCAAAAATCATATCGGGCGTATTAATTTATCTATTATTTAATATCTGTTTGTAACTCGATAATTATGCGTAACAAAATAATAATTTTTCCTTTTATCATTTAATCGATTACTGTTTACAGTATATTTTAAATCGATACTACTATACATTAATATTATATTTTATACTATCACATTACTAACCGGTGCGCTTTAATTGCTGAGTACCGCTCCCCGAGCACAAGCTCCGCTTATAGGGGGCGCTACAATATGCATTTACAAGTTATATCAAGACGTGACTATTGTCAATATTTTATCGTTGCAATAAATATCAATATTATTGTTATTCAAGTTAACATTTTCAAACGAGATATATTCATCAAAGTATAGCAATAATAATATATTTCAAGTAAAATACGCGCTACTAGTGCGTTTTGGCGATGATCGCAGAACGACTGGTAACGATTATTGTTCGGGCGTCGGAAAGCCAAAAGGGACTTGCCGTGTTCGAAATACACGCTGAAAACGCAGACGGATCCGTGTTTGGCGACCGTCTTCCCGACTGTCGTTTCCGTCGGGAACGCGCTTTGTCCCGGGACCGTTTGACATTTTATCATGGCGATTATACGTACCCTTCCACCACCGCGGGATACTTGATCCGGAACCAGGCGGCCAACATGCCGCCGTACGAACCACCGAAGACGATCACCGGGCTGGGGCGAGTCCGCCGCCCGTTGAGGTCTTCGTTCGCGCCGTCATATCCGCCGACGTTCGCGTGCGATCCGTTGTGCCGCAGGTACGTCAAGAGGTCCACGTAGTCGGCGAGCGCCTGTTCCGACGTCAAGTAGCCCAGCGTACTGCGGTTATCGTAGGACCGGGACCCGTACGGCATTGACACTCCGTAGTAACGGTGCTCGGCGAACACGAGCATGGCCCCGAAATCTTCGGCTATTTCCCACATGTAACCCTGCGGCATAAAATTCGTTACGACGTCTGCGATTGGGACTATCCGGATGACGGGGTCAGAGAAAATACTAAGAGGCATATATTATACAGAGTGTCCCATACCGTGTTCGGCGTTATTTTGTCTAGAGCTGTTAATATTCAATTTTGTTTAATTGTTTTTTTTTTTTCAATCTGCTTTTCTTTGAGAGGGGGGGAGACACCTGTTTAGAGAAAAAATTTAATTTTTCATCCTACAGTTTCAAAAAAAAGTGAAAAATAAAATTGTATTTATTAATTTTACAAATTCTTCTAAACATTTTCATGTATCATACATTTGTATTTGATTAAAAGTTTCTTAGTCACAGTCATTTTAATTTTCAGAGAAAAGGTGTGAAAAACCTGAATACCACGTAGGAAATAATTGGATTTATTGAGCTCACTTACGTTAACACGTGATAATTTGTTGTAATTTGTTACTTGAAATTCGGAATTTGTAACCCCATTTTAACCCCCAAAGCCATCTTCATTATTCTGGGTGCTTGAGGAAGCTTACCCTAGCACCTATATTGATCGAAAATAGACTTAGAAACTTCTAAACTATGCGGGACGTGTAAAATTTACTGGCCTTCAAACCGGTACGATATGCTAAGGTACAATTATATTTTACAAATTGGCTATTCTGAACATTTTGTAAAATTAATAAATTAAATTAAATTTTTTTTTATGTCTAATGATTACGGAATGAAAATAAAGATTTAATTTTGCTCAGAGATATTTCCTTCAGAAAAAAAAAAAAACAACAACAACAACAACTCAAATTGAAATTAAAGAAAAATCTAGAAAATCTGTTGAACACAATGTATAGATATATTTTTTTTTCATCATACGCATATACCGGGAACTGTATAATGCACGATTCGAATATAGGAAATTGTCAAATCCTGCATATACTCCTTTTATATTATTGTATAGTATTTCACTTACTGTGTTCTCGCAGAATATTTCGATCGCCCCTTCGTTGCCGGCGTAAAAAAATATCGGCCCGTTCTCCCGTGCCCAGTACATGTCGTTTATCAGGTATTTCATCCGGAACGTGTCGTTTTTGGTAAAACTGAAATGGTCGACCTGTCCGAATAGAAAATAATAATAACATTTCAATCTGTAAAACGAGTGTGATAAAAAAATTAATACATTTAAAAAACGTATATTCCCCGAGAATCCGTTTGACTCAACCCTCGGTTTACGGTACAATAATAATACCATAATGTATAGTGTAATACTGAGTATATTATTATGATCTTTTTCAGTTCTGATTTAATTTTGGCTACTCCCATATGTGGTGCACAGAAAACAACTTCTTAAAATATTAATGGGAAAAAAACTTATTAAAAATATAAAAAGTTATAATTTCGTTTTTGAAAAAAGTGATTTTCCGTGTGCTTGCAGTGTACGAGTATTTTCGTCAAAATTTAAGTGTAAATGATGTTTATACATGATAAAAAAATTACTGAAAATATTTTATTCAGAGCGTAGCGATCTATGGTTTTACAGTGTGTGTATTTTAGATTCGGAGCGTAGTGAGGAAACTATTGGTTATGCTATGATCTATGCTTTTTTTCCTTTTTTTTGTCTGTGAACAATTTTTCGAAAATAAATCTAGCACCGATGTATAGTAGAATATAGCATCTTTTCTGAAAGAAAAGTTTGTCTGCATTAAAGAGGTAATTTTTGTCTTTGATTTTCCAAGGAATTTGGAAAAACGCGAGAGAAAATTATATATGTAAAACGGCAACTATTTATGCCGTAACACGACGTTACCGATTTCATTGTTTTTAATGTATGCAACTTATATTTTCAACCATAATATTTCTCCAATAGAAAAACGATTAGAGACCTGTTTTGTTGCATTAGTAATCTAATTGGTGACCATGAAAATCGTTATTTGATTTTCTTTGTAGTGTTTTAAATATTGAGCAAAAGCGAAAAATACGTAGAAAGTATGGGCGAATTTACGAAAATAATTCTTTTATTATTTTAAATTTTTTTTTTTTTTTTTTAATTTAATTCCGTTAAAAATATTCACTGAAACAGAATACTTTTACTAGCTTTTTATAAACTAAAAATTTAAAAACGTTTGAGCCATTTCTGTACTATTTAAAAACATTTTAATTTTCCGAGTTTTTTAAGTAGGTTTTAAAAAATAGGTACTTTTTGAATTAAATTGTTTGACCAAACAGGCATTTTCAAAATTTAACAAGAGGTTCATTACAAACTTTTTAAAATCTTTTTATAAGAATTTTAGTATCAAATTTTGACGAAAATGTATTATATAAAAAAAAAATTGTACGTTATTTTAAATATGTGAACTTACCACGAAATACCTATTATAGGTACTTTCATACATACTTTTTACATTTTTAGATAGTACAAGATTTAATATATTTTGTGTTTTCAATATATTATTATATTGGTAAATATTAATTTTGGTATAGTAATAATACCTATCTACAGTAATAATACCTAAAATTATTTTCAAAGTTTGTTTCATCATTATTTTAGATTCTGAGTGGAGCGAGAGATTTATTGATTTTATCACATGTGTTCTTTCTATTTCTGTCTGTAATCCACTTTTTTGCCAGAAATCTTACTCCAGTCACTGATTACTAAAAAAGCTTTTTTTTTGTATTTCGGATCTAATTGGTGCAGTGAGAAGATCATTTTTTTTGACTTTCCAAAAACGGTTTTCACAATTATTGGGTAAAATCGGAAAAAACGTATTGGGAAAGCGACTGGTATACTCGTAGATTTAGAGAAAGCTTATGGCAGTGCCGAGAAAAGTTCTGATTTGTGCGTTAATAAGAAAAGGAGTTACGAGATTGTATAGGTGTATTATAATTTGATAAAGAAATGTATAAAGGTTCAAATATTAGTGTAAAAAGTTTGTGAAATTTTCTGTTGTTGTCCTACCTCAAATTATCAATAGTAGAGATAAAGGTGAAGGAAATATATTATTCAAAACATTGTAAGAAAATACGATTACAATACGAGTTTAATTACGTGAGAAAATAATAAAATGTTGGTACTCGAATCAACAAAACTAGTATAAAATTGATTTAAAATAAGATTGAAAGGTTAACTCGGTATACATTTAAACACCTGCAGAAGTACGTTCGAATCATTATCAACTGTACGTTATAATCTTTACCGATTAGAAAAAGAATTATAAAACATTATTCCGGAAATTGATAAACAAAACTAAAGTTGTTATGATATACTCATTTGTAGGTGAATATTATTATTATGATGAATAATCATTAACGTATATTTTGAACCGCCAATTTGATTAATTCATTCGTTAATGTATCCCATTCGAATCAATATAAATAATTGTTTTTTAGATTCTGAGCAAGACAAGAATCAAAAACTTATTTATTTGTATATATTTCAACGGATTAACTGATTCGATTAATACATTTTTTTTTTTTTTTTTTTGTGTACAAATGTACATGCAATAATATTCAAATACAAAAATAAAGAGCTGATACTGGAGATAGGTGCAGCCACTGTTGTAGGTGGGTACTGGGAAAGTGGGACACATAAGGCTATTTTATTTATATCTATAAGGAATTATAAACCATTGCTTAACGAAAGACGATTATGAGCGCAGTTCAGTAATTCATAATTTGAAGTGCCATAATTTTTTTTTTGCGATTTTCGTTTAAATTTGATTTCAAAACACTTACTAAAAAAAAGTCGTCTGATGATTTTGGAAATTCTACCACGTCTAGGTAAGTCCGGATTAAATATTATTACCAAGTTTCAAGTCTCTACGTGTTTTTAAAACCTGATTATAAAACCTAAGATCGAAGCAGATTTGATAACTCTAATGTAGTGTAATAATAATAATAATATTATGGTGTTTTTTAAAGGAAATTGAAAAATCAAAGATCACACATAGATCACGCGATAGGTTTACACATTAACTTGGAACTTTCTCGTAGTACTTTCGATTTGGTTGATGCATTGACGAAGCCTTTTTTTTTTTTTTTTCCCGTAAATAAAACAATTTACAAATGTCGGGCACGAAATTCGTTTACGGGATTTTCCCCGGTTAGAATATCGAAATATGTCATTAAATATCGGTGGTATATACTTACCGGCACTGTGAAGTATTCGGTTTTGTACACGTAACCGCCAGCAGTCAAGCAATGAAAAGCCACGGTCATCGCCAAAAACGGCAAGTACCGCACGGCTACTGCCGTAACAAACGACATTTCGGATATGGCCGGTTTTTTCTTATTTAGATTTTTAAATTTTTTTTTCGCGCTCCCTTATTATTACTTCGGTACTGTTACAAAGTCGAGAAGCTAAATATTCTTCTCCCGTATACCGCAATACTGACTGCTGCGCCTTGACGACCCGTTACTGTCACTCGAGACGAAGACCGCATCGGTAACGTGACCGCTGCACACTAATATATTAACCGATTAAACTCAATTAAAGGTGGCAAACTGACAAAATATTATACGCGAGTGGTCGCACAACACCGTCCGGATAAGATTGTTGTGAGAATAAAATAATATTATAACACACTATCGGAAATTATCAAGACGTGCAATATAATCACTGCACAGTTGAACGCAGTCACACGGAATTTGTACTTTGATGTGGGCAATCACGAACCTAACCTAACCTTAGATATTGATTATTACTGTACCATATTGTATTACGATACAATTTCACATTGTAATATTATACTCACACTTAAATATTCAGGAAACGGTCGGGCAGATATATAAAAATATGTAAACTGTTGTTCCGGTAAATTGTTCCTATTCTACAGGGTGATTCTTTTTTTTTTTTTTTTCATCACAGTCAGACGATTATCTACACCGGGATTATTTTGAGTAAAATCGATTTCGGTTATGTTCAGCCGTTGTTATAAAAATCGTTTAAAATTGATTCAACAGCACAATTTTCAAAATGTAACTCTTATACACCTCTAATAATAAACGTGTCGAATTTTGATTTTCAAACAACAATCTCTCATCCTCTTTTCGGACCTGATTCGAAAAGACAACTTTTTTTTTTCATTTTAATATATTATACTTAGAAGTTCTGCTAATATATATTTTTTTTTTTTTTTTAAATCTTAACAATAACTGAAATCTAATTGTTAAACATTTTCAATTCAAAATTGTAACTATAGCGTTTGGGATTATAATTTTCAAAATCCAAATCCAATGCACCTTGTAAGAAGTCTTATTCTCTCCAATAACAACAAAAATGATCAAAGTCAGACCACCCTACAAAGGAGGATAACGAAGGGGGATAGTTAATTCTATAAAACACGTTTTTATGCGAAAAACAAGTCGTATACTATAGTTTGGAAAACGTTATTACGGAATAGGGAAGGGTTATCGTAATAAATTGGATTTAGAATTTATTATCCTTCCCTGTTTTGCTCCGGTCAAAATGTTGAACTGCTAAAAATTATAACTCATCATAAACGGTTTGTTGACAAAATTGTTTACAAATTTAAGGAATAGAAATAAACATTTTGAAAATGTCGTTAAAATAGAGCTTAAAAATTTCCAAAACGATTGAAAAAACAGAAACAAAATGTAAACTAAAAACGCTGAATCCTGATACAAGAAAAAAAAAATCACCCTGTATATAATTATTAAACGACGACGGCGTATAGAAAGGTGAAAGAAATACGCGTGTACACATTCGTTTATTTCAATACTGTAAATAATCCTGACAGCCGCGCCGTGTCGACACTTTAATAACAACTGCATAAAACTGTAAATTAACATTTCATAATAATATAATATTTTTATAGCGAATAATGCAAAATATAATAATACGAAAAAAAAAAAACGGACCAACCCATTGTACCCATTAATTGTTCAACCGTTTCCGAAATCCATACCTGTTTAGAACATCAAAAAAAATTTGCCAACCGGAGCGGTGCTGTGTATACAAGTATAAAAAAGCTGTCCCAGGATAATGGGGACGGGCGCAGCCACGGCTGTTTTATAGATAATTTAGGGTATATCTGAACGCAACGATATGCTAACGAAAAAACGATTGTGATCGGAGTTCAGTTGATAGTTATGTCTTGTCAACAATATTATGACATAATATGACGTATTATGGTAAAATAATTAAATAGTTACTATAAATATTTTCTTTATAATATTTGTTTAATTTAACGGTTTTCCCGTTTTTCTTCGGTTTTTCACATTTGCTGAGAAAATTATTTTACCTTCCTACACCGATTTTATTTCATAAAAGGTGCTACGCTTAAAAATCGGAGCAAGAATTCGGGTAGAAAATCTCGTTACAGAAGAAAAAAAAAAGCAACGGAACCTAATGTTAAAAAAAAATTGTTGTACATTTAATGATAAACCATTGCTAACGAAAAAACGATTCTGAGCGGAGTTCGGTTGATAGTGTAAGCTCAAGTATAGAATAAGGAAATATAATGTAAAGCAATTATAGCACCTTTTCTAAAAGGAAATTTTCTCTAGATGGTACTTTCGAGAGGACATTTTTTGAATTTCTCATTAAAATTTTACATAATGAGGAAAACATCGGTCTCTAGGTTAAAAAAGATTGGAAGATTAAAAATAAAGTTGTTATTGGCAACCGTTTTTATTTTTTTTTTTTTGTTACAATTAAATTTGTATTATTTTAATCTTTTTTAAACAATCATTGTTGTCATGGAAACGCATATTATTTTAATAATTTTACCATAATACGACATAACACCATATATTACTAGACGCCCAATAATCACGGACGGTGTAACGTTGATGAAACATAATCCGTTCTGGATTCTAATTCGAACTCAATTCGTGATTCACGATCGTAACGGACATAACAATCAGCTCTGGAC